CTAATTAGATTTGCGCTAAGGCTTGTAGTTTTCCCGCTATAAAATACATCCCTTTCCTCCCGGTGCTACAAATTAGTAAAATATTTTTAATTTTTATATGATAGAGATTTAAATTCTCTACGTTTTCCATATCATAACTTTTCTATAAACTTATTAATTAATTTTCTATAATTACTTAAAGAAGTTATTTGTTGAGATACACGGCCTCCCTGTGCTCTAACCATTATGTTTGGATACAAACCGTTGACACCATGTATTCGTAGATTTTTACGCTCTTTCGAATGGTGTTCTCAGAATCACTCTACGACTCATAGTTTTTGAGCAAGAGCATAAAATTTAAAAGCTACCAGTCCCTTTCAAATAGGTGTCTGTCCATTGATGCACAGAAAGACAATGAAAATATGAAAAAAGTATATTTTCAAATTATTTTTAATCAATGTAGTTTTCAAAATAATGAATTTGACAGTACTTAGTTTACAAGCCAATAAGATAATATAAATAATAATATGACATTTATTTATCAATGCATTCAGAATAAATAACATAAATTACATTTTTAAATTATAATCATATTAATGTAAATGATATCATTAAATATGCTAATATTTTGTAAAATACTTAGGAAGTGCATAATATTATTATAATATTCACATGACATTAATAATAAATGTTGTAGTATATTTAAGTTATTAGTTGCTGTGTAACATACATTTATTTCAGTTAATATATTTGTATATTAAATATAGTTTTAACAATTAAAAATTAAATTTTATTATATTCATTTAATTATTATATTATAGTTAATTATGAATGGTAGGTATTTTTATATTGTATATAAATTAGTGTGTTATATGTTATGTTTAATGGGATGTGGGTACCAAACATAAAATAAGTTTATTATACTTTTCATACGAAACAACTACTAATGTTAAACACAAATCAAGTAATTAAGCACAAATATATCAACCGGCTATCACACTGTGCGCTACTAAAATTGATCTTTTAAATACTTTAAAAACAGGTTACGGACAAAATTTATCAGGTTATGATAGATATTTACAAATTTATACATTTAATCAATTGTCAATTGGGAAACAATTTGAAGTGTTAAGATCAGCATGGGAATTTGTTAATGTTGACATGCCCAATTTTATGTTAAAAGCAAATTGCTCAGTAAATAAGCAAGCAATTACGTATGACCTTTATTGTGTCACAATATATTCTACTGGTAACAATAATTGTCTACAAAATTGTATTAGACAAATATCATACGTGTTTAATAAAAATGCAGTTACCTCGCTACATATTATTGTGCACCCTTATAGCGAATCTATATACAGGATTGATGCAAAATATAAGAAATACATTATCTACCTGGCTGGCATGGATGTGGATATCAAAATAAAATTTAGTCAGACTATCGTGGTAAAAAATTATATTGATAAATGTTTCCGTATGGGCACGACATATAAACAATGTATTTACGAGTGTATTATAAATTATTATTTTCTTAAAAATTCTACATTAATTACACATGATCAATTACATTATAAAAGTAGCAATCACTCGTTGACAATTTTATGCCTGGGCATCACACCGATAATGATGTAGATAAAAAATGTGAAATTAAATGTAGTGATAGAGTTGAATGCATTGAATATTATTATGATATTGATATGAAATCGGAACCGACTAAAGGACCTAAAATCTATAGTCAAATAAATATCCAGTTCCCTACCAAACCCACAGTTGTATACGAGATATCACTGAAAATGTCTTTCGAGGAGTACTTGAGTCTAACGGCGAGTATTATAAGCCTATGGTTTGGGTTCACTATCATTGCGTTCACTGAGTTTTTAGGACACATTTTTGTTGAATATAATGTTCAAAATTATTTTGGTAGAATTTATACCATTGTGAGAACTAATTTTACTAATCATCATGTTAATATAGCTCGTGTATGTGTCAATGTAAAACAAAATATTAAAAATGTGTATATAGTCAAACGTAACTCAAATAAGGTGACACCTTTTAATGTTGAATAATTAAATATAGACATCATAAAATATATTTTAATAAAAAAATTAAAATTATTAATTAAATGCTATGTAACTTACAAATAAATATTTATTAATAATGGACTTTAATATAATAAAATAATTTCTTAATTATAATTTATTGAATTATTATATTATTTAATTTAAAAATTATGATAAATTAAAATAAAATTATTCAAATTTAGGCGAATTTTCTGATTGCACATCATATGTTATATTCATGTGTTTTATTTACATAATAAATAAATTAATTTTTTAAATTTTGAAACAAATGGACAGTTGTTTTGAGCACATCCAACTCCACACTTATATCCGGGTCATCAGTAAATTGATACCAATTATTCACTTCACAAACAATTTTCTTAACAATTGCTGACTTTTTATTAACACATATTTGTGTCCACACAAAATACAAATTAATTAGCATTAAAAATAGTATTATTATAAATATCTTATAAAGCTCATTAATTTCATATAATATTAGTATAAACAGTAAATACTGTAAATTGAGGCAGCTATGTAAAATAAAAATATAATATCTCAGGAATGTAATATATTTATTTAGTAGCGTGTCAAAATGGATAAACATGTGAATATGTTGCTGGACACTAATTAGAAAATCTTTACTAGGTCTATTATTGTCGGAAAAAGTTGTATTCAAAAATATTCTGTAATAATTATCAAGGATATTATTATATTTTATATGACACTCAACGTACAGCACCTGTACGGCATAAAACCAGCCAATCACGTGAAAGCATACCATTGCCCAGCGTTTAATTAATTGAACAGGCACAAAATTAATATTAAATATATTTTCCATTATGCTCAAGCAACTAATTATTAACGCAAATATAATACATGCTACAAAAATAACAATAATTATTATTAATCTAATATAATGTCCGTAATTAATAATAGTAGTAAAATGCTCATGTTCATAAATTAATAATTCGTTATAAAAATTAAATATTTTTCGCGATCTATACATTACTATTAAATACGACAATAACAATGTTACAGAAAATGTGGTGATTATTATTTTGACCAAGAGCATATAAATATTATTAGAGTTATTATTATGCACTAAGAAATTTAATGGTGTTTGCAATACAAACAGCGATAATATAGTGATCGTAATTCCGGTGAATACTTGTCGCACAGTCTTGTTGTGACTGTTGAGCCCAAATATGATGAACATGTAGTCAAACATTGTTTTAGTTAAATAATTATCAGGGAGAAATGTATGCTAATATTATTTATTATTAAACTTATGTATACTAATAACAGATTTAAAAATATGTAAGTATTTAATATATTTAAAAAATTGTTTAATATATAATTCGTGAGGTAAACACTATAAATACAAAGTTTAAATCAAAACATTTATTGACTACATGTAACATATCATAGAAATTTGACATAGACAAACTTTATAATATTATTTTAAAATTATATTAAATCTATTTTATATAAAATAATTGCTTGGCAACATACTTTACATCATGCTTTAATAAGCATCATGAAGATTATAAAAATGTTCCCTGAGGTATTATATAATTGCATTATTATTAATTTATTGAATTGTTATGTAATATAATTTCAGTCATTTATTATTAAAGAGGTTTTTAGTCTATATACTAACATAGAAACTAAGGTTATATGATATTAATAAGTGAAGTAATGCTATATGATGTACAGCATGTTAAATGTATAATATTGATTTTTTGCTAATAGGATTTATGTTGAACGTTTTGTATTTCGTAATACAAATCTATAAATATAGCTTTTATATTAATCTAGCAATAACATTAATAATATTACATTACACTATTTAATGTATATATCTATTTCATTAATGCCAGATCAACAATTTTAAGCTACTTAAAATGCAATTTGCAATGCAAATGATGTTCATGACATAAAACCAAAGAAAGTAATTAATAATGTTAAATATTATGCGTTACCTATGTGGGTGTAACATGGACTTATCATATTGGTAGATTTCTAATTTTTTAAAAATTTGAATATTTTTTTGTAAACACTCTTTCACTATTATATAAAATGTTATCATTTAATGTCAATATTATTATTTTCAAGAACTTGTATTAAACACATTGATAATATAGTTACTGTAATACTGGTGAATATTTGTTACAAAATATTAATGCCATAGTTGAGACTAAATATTATAATGATTAAAATAATTAAAAGCACACGTTTAAATATTATTAAAATTTTAATTTTATTAAATAGTTTTAAAAAATAAAAACACTGTATCAATTTTTAAAATATTTAAAACTCTTTCATTTCTAAAAATATTTTATTCATTCAAATCACAAATTCAAATCAACTATACAGTTACATTTATACATAATAATTTGATCATATTTAGTATTATTCATGAAAAACATATTATTATTTATCGTATACAACATAATGTTGTTTTACAGTTATATGGATCAATTTATTGATTATTTAACAAATAGTTTATTTACAAGTTATACATTTATTTCATAATCATTATTTCAGTCAATCTGTTATTATGCATGTTACAATACCAAAATAAATCTATTATATAAATTGATAAATAACATTTTATTATTACTTCGTTGTTAACTTTATTTGTTATGTAATGTTACGAAACATGTAAAGAATATTCTTGTTATTCATTTAGTGTTTAATTATTATTATATTAATATTCACTGTATGTCACTATAATTGCTTATACTGAATGTGAATTGTATCAAGTTACATTATGTTTATTATATAATTGTTTGTAATACTGATTGCACGGAGAATGCATTTGGAGTGTCAGTCATATAACTTGTATTGTATTTTATGTTAGACCTATTGAATGCTATTTAACATTATATTAAATAAATACAGATATGGTTTGTATATTGTAATAAGCTACACATATGCTTATGTAATATTGAGTGTAATGTGTATACCTCCCGTTCCCAAACACAAAGACTTTTCTAGAAACTTCTAGAAAGTTCTACATGTTAAAGTATAGCCTATATAACTGCATCGATATTATGTAAGAGAGCTATCTTTTGGGCTACTGGTGCCGTACATTTAACAAACTGTATGTTTTTTGTGTAGTAAATACTGTTTAATGTAAAAAAAACTGAAAGTTATTGAAAAAATAAAACTAAATTTGCAAATAAGCAAGTGTATTTAATTTATTTTAAACTGGACTT